ATCAAAATTTGATCTTAGACGAATTTTGTCGCTTACAATTATTGAACTGGAATTATCTAAACTTTTAATTAATCATTTCTTAAACATATATGTAAATAAAAAAACAAGTACGTAGCGAAATGTCATCAGGTTATTTGTTGTGTAGCGCATGTATTGTTCTATGTACTGTACAAATAAAATCAAGATTAAAGTAATTATTAAAAATTATCCACACATTATAAAAAATTCATTATGTATATTTGCATATACCCTTATGTATTTTTATATACTATATTTTATTTAGTATATTCTTTTACAAATGCTTTGAATTCCAATAGTAGATACACGTATAAATTGATCGATAAAATAGAAATAAGATACAGGAATATTATGGATAAAAAAAATGACTTTTTTATTAAAATTATACTACACAAGACTTCAAAGAACGTAATAACAATATCAAAACCTATTACAAAATTACCTTTAAATATTATTAGATATGGATAATAATGATGATAATAATGAAAGTAATGATAATATAAATAAAGTCGATAAAATCGATTATAATAAATTGATAATTAATAAAAATGAAATTAAAGAAGCGAATATAATTAGTAAAGAGAAAGAATTTTATAATAAAAATTATACAATTGGTTTCATTAATTGTGAATTATTGTAAGGTAATTTAATATAAAATTATCAAATTGTTCAAATTATTTTTATAATATACATTTAAATTATTTAATTATAATATATTAAATCACAATATTTTATGTTAGATTGAGATAAAAAGCTTTGATTCCATGTTTCGAGGATACAAATTGGAAAGGTATTAAAGAGATTCGCACAAACAAATGAATAAATGCTAAAGGTTACGAATTAAAGGATTAGAATACCTCGTATAGAATTAGATCCTATCGAAGAAGAAAGTGATAATGACTTTGAAAAATTGAATATGATCAATTAATCCTAGAACATTGCAAGGTTATTATTTGAATTTTTATTTTGTTTTATTAATTAATTATTTATTAATCATTATTTTATTTGTTATTATTACTTTTATTTTATTACGTATATTAGTATTTTATAAATTTATTAATTAATTTATCAATAGATTTAGAATATTTATTAGCACTTGTTATTTATTGAACCTTTGTTCCGAGGTAAAACTCCTCTTGAATATTGGAAGATTTTAGGAAATTTTTTGCAATGACCACATGATAAACCAATCAATGTGTGTATTGATATTGGGTTACAATATAAATATAAAAATTATTCACTTTCCATCATTTATTAAAGACTAAACATTTAGAATTGAACATTTAACTCCATTTAAAAACAGTTTTCCTTAGTGTAAAAATATTCATAAAACATTAGAAATTATATTGAAACAATATTTTTGATACAAAGGCTAATGAACAATTCATAATGATTTTGATATCAATATATTGACATTACAATTACTAACTCCGCACCATAACTTATTATTATCCAATAATATTTAATAATTTATATTATTAATTAAGTATCTCCTTGATGTATGCGTGTAATTACAGAATTAGATATAAATCAGTTTGGCTGTAACGCAGTTTAGCCAATCTTTATTCTAATTTTGATATAAATTCATTTGTAAGTTATTTTTTATTATTTATAATAAATAAAGAGGAGATTTCGTTTGTCTTTTAAAAAACAATTAGATATAAATAACATGAACAAGTCAAGAATTTAAAAAGGCAATGAAAGTGCATACAACTTTTTTTTTTCACGTCAATATCGTTATAAGCCAATTGTAATGATCTTATTTATACATTAATTAAAGCTACAAAAAATCATTTAACAATATTTAAATCTAAATTTCATAACATTTTATGAAAATCAGTAAATATAATTAATATAATTAGCACAAATATAAAGTGTCTTTGGTCGTTATTTCATTATATATGATGCTTTAACTGAAAGTTTATATCAAACAAGAAATTTCACTTATAAAAATTCCATTCAACTATCGTACCGCAGAGAGGAAGATATCAACATACTTTATCGGAAATAATAACGAAGTTCTCTTTATTCATTAATTATGAACATAAGAAATTACATAATCAGTATAATCTACCACATAACTCATTGTCACCTGAGGGGAAATTTTTTATTTATTAATATGCGAACCTATAATTGATAATTAATAAATAAAAATTAATTTTAGTATCTGATAAATTTTGTGAACCAATTTAAATTAATCTATTTAACATTACAGCTATATAAATAAGTTTTCACCTTCTTATGTTGCAATTCCTGGGGGTGTTACTTATAATTTATACAAATTTACTTTTATAAAAATATTATTATATTTAAAAATCTTCAATATCATCATCTAAATAAAAATAAAAATAATTAATTAAATTAATAAATGAAAAATGAATAAATGAAATATATAATTGATACTTACTAGTAATTATTTGAGAAAAAAATTCTGTTAATTCTTTAAGTTTATTTTTTAAAATTTGATTCATTTACAGGTTTTGGAAGATTTAAAAAATTGAGAAGTCATACTGGTATAAATCGCTTGTGGATGTTAATTAAGTAGAATTGTAGTTGTAGTATCAATGGTTGTTTTATTTTTGGAAAATTATTCAGCTCTTTAATTCGAGTTTTAATTTCATGATCTTATCATAATAATAATTATAATATTTATCCAACTCTTCATATAATTCGTCAAAAGTGGGTCGATGGGTAACTCGAGCATTCCAACATCGCATGATCATTCGTGTAATTAATTTAGGTGTGTGAAATTGAATTTTTGGTCGTAATCCATTAAATATTTTCAAAGCTAACTCTTCATCATGTGGCACATAATCAGTAACCATTTCGTAAGCAATAATTTTGAATGAATAGACATCAGCAACCTTCGTAAATTCTTCCCCACATGATACTTCAGGATCTAAATAGGGCAATACTCCAAAAACATTTCTCTTTTGGGGATTTTCTATATTTTTCCCAATTAATTCACTTATCACAAAATCCGAAATTTATATACGTACTTATCGATGTAAAATCATATGATAAAATATTTCCAGGGTGGAAATCGTGATGTACAACGTTTAATTAATGAATCTCTGCAAAAATTCTTACTAATTCTCTTAAATACCATAATTTCTTTCTTCAATTAAAATTATTAAAATTATTAATTAAATAATTTCTAAGATTTCCTCCTTTTATATGTTGCAAAACGATCATACTTTTATGAGTTTCTGGATCTTTTGTAATTCCAAAAAATCAAGGAGTATCTATTTTATTTGTTCTCAATGTGAACGACATCTAAATAATATATTTTTTAAATTATCATATATTTACAAATAGAATATCATTTTACCTCATTAAAGAAGTCTTTGTTCATATCTCCAATAACCAATAAACTTTTTCAATATCCCAATCCACAAGTACCAAAACCACCTTTTGTTATTCTTTAATACCTTGAAATAATTCATAAGGTATCCATTCTATTCCTTTCGATGCCCTGTCTGCATTTAGTTGAGAATCTCGAAAAAATTAATCTATTGTCATCCATTTATAAAATTATTTTTGAGTTTCATGGTTTACACCACCAACAATAATATTCTTGATTGCATTTTTCACATAAAGATATCTTTTGTTCACTCATATTATATAATGAAGAATTATATATTTTTTTAAAAAAATATCAATAAATAAATTAAAATCTGAATACGCTTGGTTTAAAATTTTTTTATTTTATTTATTTCGCAAAATACTATAATATTATCAGTTATTTATCAGTTATACTGTTGATAATCATATGATATTAAATTTTTTTATTCTTAAATAAATAATAGAAAACGAAAAGCATAAATTAAAAATAATACATTCTAAAGAAATAAATTTCTAAAAGGGAAACGACATTTACAATGTATTTGAATAGAATTGTTTCTTATTCTAACAAAGGAAAAAAATTATTCAAATTTTGATCATTGTATTTATAAAGATCAATATTAAAGAATTGAAAAAATATTTTAATTTACAATACAAATTTTTAGCAAAGGTTTGATTAAGATAATTATTTAATTTTAAGTTATTTTCTCGAAAATCAAAAATTTTAGAATAAATTAATTATATCAAAAATGCAATGGATAAAAATAATAAATATAAAAAAATACGATGAATTGAAATTAATATAAGTTTGTATAATATATTATTGAATTTAATTTAAATTTAAACTAAATTCATTTCATCGTTTATTTGATTAATACAATCGAATGCTTAGTATTAAGTAACTTTATCTAAGATGTAATAAATCTTGTAGATTATAAAATTTTAAATATAATAATAATAATAATAAATATTTATATGGAGAATTTGTAATATATAAATATGTATTATTAAAAAGATCTTATTATTGAATGCTCAAAGATAAAGACAATTTTTTTAAAGTATAGATATCTGTAAATTAATGAATAATCAATTAAATTGAATATATCTAATTTTATTAAATAAATAATATTAATTATATAGAAATTTTATTTTTGTTTTTAAAATTTTAACTTATAAATTATAATTATTATTATATCGTGACAAAAATTTCCAGGCGCAACTAGAGATGTTGGTGAAACTAAATCATCAAGTTTCAGCACCAAATTTATCAAGTTTCACCACTATCTCTAGGCCCACCCAAATTCAGAAAAAGAATTATTGACAATAAAATTTTGCTAATCCTATTGTTAATATTTCCTTTTCTGAATTTGGGCGAGCGGCATGTAGGCTCTAGGCGTAACGGCGTAACGGAGTAACGCTTACGCGATTTTACATTTACTTATGGTGTTGTCGTACATTTAGATGCAGATGCTAATAAAACTTTCAGATAATCTCATTAATATAATAAAATGCATTTGTAGTAGGTCTTTTATGACATTTATAAATATTATTCGGTTCTTTCTTTATCATCCGTTATCATTTTTTTTATCAATTCTTTTACCATCCGTTATCATCAGTTAGTTTTTCATTATTCAAAAATGACAGAAGTTAATTTACAAGAACAAGAAGCTATTACTGGTGTGGAAGTTATAGAGCAATGGATTACTACCAAAGATGGAGTTCCTATTTATTCAAAGACTTGGAAGGTAAATATAATTTCATATTTTTTTATCAAAAATAAACATTATTTGATATTTAAAAGCTTTTCTTCTTAAATTATTTCAAATATCATTCTTAGGCAATTTCCTCTCCTCCAATCGCGACGGTAATTTTTATTCATGGGGGTGGAGAACACATTTCTCGTTATAATTATGTATTTTCCAAATTTTCCAGTAAGAATGTTGAGGTATTTGCTTACGATCAACGAGGATTTGGACAAACTGCAGTTCGAAATAATAATCCGGGAGATACAGGTGGTTGGGATGTGGCCTTGGATGATATCAATGAAGTCATAATATCTCAGAGAAAACCTGGAATTCCTCAATTTTTGATGGGTCATAGTATGGTAAATATGTTATTTATATCTATATGCTATTTATATTTTTGTTATCTACATGTCGTTTATGTTATGTTTTTTACAGGGCGGCGGTTTAGCATTACATTATGCCAGTTATGGACCAGAAAAGGATAATTTAGCTGGCTTCATCATTAGCGCTCCACATATTGCACCTATTAGTGCATTAGCTAAAGTGGGTAATTTTGCAAATATGATTGTACCAAAATTGCCCATACCACTCCCTCTTTATCCCGAAGATATGACTCATGACAAAGATATTCAAAAAAAACTTCGTGAAGATCCATTGAATTTTAAAACTCTTTCCGTGAACACAGGTATGTAATATATAATTATTTGTATATTTATAATTTTCGAGAAAAATTTGATTATTTCAAGTATTTCATAAGCATTTTTCATTAATTTTTTTTAGTTGTGACTATGGTATCCAAAGGAAAAGAATTACTAGATAGTAAATATGTAAGCATAACTTCGCCAATTTACATTTGTCATGGATCAGAAGATAAAGTTACTTCCCACGATTCTTCGAAAGAATTATACGAAAAGATCCCTTCCCAAGATAAAACTTTTCGTTCATGGCCAGGACTTTATCATGAACGTACGCAATAATTTATTATTTATCACTGAAATTTCTTTTAATTATCAATTAATATTTCAATTGTTTATTTATTACTTCAGCGCATAACGAATTTGAAAAGGATCAGGTCATCGACGATTACCTTCAATGGATTCTTGCTCGTGTAAAAAAATGAAGCCTTGGTTCTTTGGTTAATGTTAATTGTTTATTTATATTCTTATGTTGTTGATTTTAGATTATTTAACGCTTTAAACATACATTCATTTTTTGCACATATTAATTAAATGATTTTTTTTCACATTTTCATTAAATGAATTATTTATTAAATCCATCATATTTGCCTTCTTGTAATCAATAAATAAATTTTATTTCCATTTTAAATGAATCATACGTAATAATAATAAATATTTATATAGTAAAGATAAATATGATAATACGTTAGAATAAATTATTATAAATTATGGAAAATTAATTCCATTCAATCTTGATATCTCCTCATTTGGCGTACGTGTGTTTATCCACTACCTCTATCATCAGCCACTTTAATAATGTCTCTAATTAATTCCCTTCTTCTAATGTTAATTCATTACCTTTAGCCAATTATTTAAACAATTAA